ACCAGCTGTGTACGGCTCTCTCACCATAGTCCGAGTCCCAATTACCAGGAGACGGGGTTATTTAGCTGCTTGCAGATTAAGTCTACATTTTGGCACCTCCTTTCCCCTCCCCAGCTGCTGTCGCAGGAACTTTATTGCAGGGACGGAGCAGGGCAGGGGAGTCCCATGGTGGGGAAGGCTCCATGCCCCCACCCGTGGCTGCGGGATGGGGTGCAATCAAACCCCAGGCTGAGGCAGGATGGCTGCAACTACAGCTGCATCATGTAGCGCTTTTATAAGCCTTATATTTTACTGTAAACCCCAGCAAAATCTGGCCAGTTTGACCACGGGGATCATCTCTTATTGCCTCTGGTAGCCACACGATGGGAACACTGTCATATGGGGAAGCCTCTGAGTGTTCATCCCTGCATCTCGTTTTCACTACCTAAATGCTGTAAGCTGAATTCTACATCCAGAGCCACATCTTCGCAGCCAGCTGACTAATTTTTTCTCCGGGCAAAGCCCAGGTGTGGATGGGCAGTGGTTACTGCACACACACGCTCATGGCCAGGACCTCACGTGAATGGGAACTTGCTACAGAGATCCAACAGTTAATGAAAAAAGAGAAAACCATGAACTTCCCTGTTAATTTCTCTTGCATTTTCATACATTTATGAGACTCATGAAGGTAAAGCAAGCGGAGGAAGTTAATTAAAGTTTCTTCACGGAGCACACGGACCAGAGGGCACTCGAGCACGAGGCTCAGACACTTGCACACAGTCAGCACGCTCTGCCGCTGGGACAAAGCTGATGTACTCTTCTTGCTCCAGAGGAGCTCTGCTGCTCTACAGCAAACACAACCCGACTGGATAAATTGCAAAAATCACACACCCAGCTGATACTCTGAACGTGACTTTTGTTGAATTTAAAAGAAACACCAAAAAGTTCATTGGTGTTCACATGCAAGAGATTATCTGAAAAATGCTATACAATTATTTCGCAAGAAAACCAGCTAAGAACTATTTGCAGGAGAGAGAAACTCCTCATTGTCCAAGGTCACGGTAATTCTCACTATAATATTTTCTCAGCAATACATCTGATAAGGATGACTCCTAATACAACCCTTTGGACAAAGGAGATACCTAAAATGAAACTCTTTACTGACCTACTGTTGAGAAACAGATGCTGAATTGATGTAAACTTGCAAGTTGGAACAGTGGATGGACTCAGGCGTTACCAGGACAGGTCTGAGTGAGTGTAATGACCCTGCCAGTGCCCACACTGTGAAATGTTTTATGTGATGAGTAATAAGTATCACCACTAAAATGGCCTTGCATTCAAGGAGTTTTTAAAAAGGTTCATTAATCCAGCTGCCACGAGGTTTGGCTTATTGTACGTATTTTTGCAACACATTTGTTTCTCTTTCCTTCCAATTCAAGCTATGCCATCTTTTAAACACAAGGCAATGAAAACAGCAGGAGCTACTACAAAAACTTACTTCAGCGTGTAAAAAGATGGCAGCGAGTCCCACAGCCCTTCCAAGCATGGTCTGGGTACACGGAGGCACTACAGCCTTGTGCTGGCATGGGCTGGGCTGGAGTTTTTGGCTGAATTACATTTTCTGGCCCTTTCAGGTGCTTCCTACCACCCTCTGCTTCAGGATCTCCGGGCCATCCCCTGCGCCATCACAAGTATCTTAAAAGAGGAGCGTGCACCAGCCCAGAGAAGAGGTCATGGTAATCCAGCCCATGAATCATTTCCACTAACGAAGCCACCAAAAATGAGTCAGTCGTTGGCTTTGTGTGGTCAAAACACAAAGCGATTAATTCATTGCAGCATTTTTCTTGTGAGAAAGGACTTTTGCATTAAAGCAAAAAGGTTTATAGAAATCATTCCTAAATCCAGCAGTATTTATCAACTTCTTGGAAATATAATTGTGTATTAGCTAGAGCAAGAGGAGCAGGGGAAAAAAGTCTTTCTTCAGTAACTGGGAGGCCTCCCATTTAGTGGTTTTATTCCTCAGCTTAATCCTCTATTTCACATGGATGCCACGGACAATTAGCACCAATCTTTTCACTGGAGGCCGAGCTCCCACCGGCGCAGGCGGAAGAGCACAGACAATGGACAGATCCCATTTGTTTCCTCCGCGGCAGTCCTACCTTCTCTGTAGGCAGATTTGATTTCCTCCAGCACGTGCTGCTCCCCCTTTATCTGATCCTTCTCCCCTCGGGTTGCTTTTCCTTCTTTCATGGGAACTGGAAATAAGATCTCAAGATGCACTTCCTACAATACCTGGAAAAAAAAACTTAGAGCAGGTTTCAAATGATTGCAAAATATTTTTAAAAAATCAATTTTACAAACAATTCTGGTATTTGGACAAAAAAAAAAAGTGACTCCCCTGTAACACAGCCAAGCTTTTCTGCATAAGACTGTTACTGATGCAAAACAGTTTAACCATTTTGAGACTTACCATGGAATAACATGTGCCAGCGCTGGGCCAGGGCCAAGTGCAAGCCCTGAGGCAGGCGGCAGGGAGGATCGGCTGTGTCCGCTGGAGCTCTCTGCCCGCCGAGCCACAGCAGCTCGGCAGCCCCTCCACAGCCAGCACGTGCCCTCAACAGCACACAAAGCCTCCGTCCCTCTTCCAGGCACAGTTAGCTAAAAGGAATACTAGAGAGCTTGACGCATCCTGCATAGAAACGGTGAGATTATTAAATTTAGGGTGATTTGCTGGAGAGTCTCAATCTCTATTCGCATTTCTTATCCCCTCCATGGTCGATGGCCAAGGGAGAGGTCCCGTGTTCGTTCAGATCACTCCCTCGCTCAGAGGCTGCATCCCAGCATTTCAACGTGCTCATCACAGCCAGCCTGAGTGAGACTCAGACAGATGGTCACAGTCCAAGAAATCCTGGGGTTATCGAAATGTAAGCAAATCTAAAGGGAGAGGGGAGCAGTGATGTGATGCTGAAGTTTCAGAGGTGCCATTTCAGGTGCACGCAGTACAAAAGGTGCGATGCAAACCCTCCCACCCAAGCAAGTTTCAGGAAAATCACACTTTGCTGGGTCTTCTGCAAAGGTCACCGTGTGAGGCAGCACATTTTAAAACCACCATGGAAATCACAAGTATTGCCCACGGCAAGGGCTGAGCCAATCCAGCTGTCTCCCCGCTCCGGGGAAGGATGGAGCACGCTGTTCTCCACAATCAAAAGATGAAACCCGTTTCGGGGAGATTTAAGTTTGAATCCTGTCTGAACCTGCTCAGACATTTACAACACTGGAAGGAGAAAACAACCTGGCTGACAAAATGCAGGCAAGAAGGCCAAAGGTATGTATTTGGTCACTGCAGATGACCACAGACCTGCCACTTACTTGGTATAAAGTGGCTGAGCTGTCACAGACCCAAAATAATTATCTGAGCTTGGAGTCAGTGTTTAACCCACGCCAAACACAAACGCGGGTTTCTTCAGACCCCGTCACCCACCCGCTTTCGGCAGCACATTTCTCCCCTGGGCTCCCAGAACTGCTCTCTGAAGAGGAATGATGGAGCAGTAGGTGTCTGTAGCTTCAGGCCACCGAATGAAGAGAAACAGGAATGCTAAATATTCGAGTTCTCTGAGTATACAAGACCAAATAAGGCCCAGATGCCAAGAGAGTAAACACAAGGCTAATCTACCAAGTTTGGGCAAATGTGATTCAGAGTTCCCTAATGCTACAGATTTTGCCTTGCAGGATAAACTTAATAATTCTCTCTCCGTATGCTTATTCTTGTTTAAAAAGGAAGTCTCTGTGTAACCTCCATCTATCTTTGTCAGCCCCAACTGCTTGTTTGCGAGGACTATACATTTGAGAAGTTCAGCCATGAACCAAAACCACAGACAAAACATTTCACAAAGCAGGTAAGTTATATATGTGATAGTACAAAAAACCCAACACACCCCCAAAAGTGTATGGAATCACCATTTCCTCACCTGCCAGGCTGGCACCGAGGATGGTCTCAGCATTTGAAAACCTGGTTACAAAAAGGAAGAGAGACACCTTGAAGTGGAGATTTGTGTTACACCCTCTATGGAAAAGTAATCAAATTCCCACAGATAATCTGCATTTGTAATCAATAACCAGGTGCAATAAAGCATTGAAACTAAATTAAACACTGCTCTACAGCAAAAATTGCTACATAAGTGACATTTATTAATGTTCTGCTATATTTACAGTTTTAACATAGTAAAACTCCAAAGTGAATTACCACTTGGCAGAAAGCACAAAAGTGCACATTAAATCTACATTTATAACGCATCATAGTCTCTGCTAACACAAATTATAAAAGCAAGAATTACAGGTATGATAGGAATTGTCTCAAAAGTCCCAAGCCAAAGAAAAAAAAAAAAAAAAGGCCTTTGTTTTGCAAGGTCATTTTTTATACAAAGTTCCAACGTGATCTTTCATTTTTACACTACCAATGTGTACTGTGAAAATCCCTATATAGTCCAAAAAGTAGGTAGTATGAAAGTAAAGTATACTACAACATTGAGAATATAGACTATTAAAAAATTAATACTTGTGCCACCTTCAAAATCATACTCTCTCCCAATTACACCTCAAGAATCCGTACCGCATAGACCCATTTTTCCTTTCAGCCACAGACAGCACAGGTGCTGTTGGATTTAAGCAGCAGAAAGGCATGTAACCATAGCAATGCCATCGCTTCAACTTTTGAGATCATCCCTTCGGGCCGTCAGCATGACGCAGGCTGTACGGGACAGACCAGAGCCCAAACCCGCTCCCAGGATGGAGGAGGAAATAAAGCAAGCCTGTCCCCTGCTGGCTCCAGGGGCAGGGCTCATGCTACCGAAATCACTACAGAAACTACCTAGATAAGGCTTTATGAGCACGTCACAGACTCGACTGCAATAGCTTTTTCAAACATTAGCCACTAATGATTCAATGATTACAGAATTCTGCATTAATTATTAAAATTTTACACCTAGAAACAAATAGAAAGAAATGCTTCTCCTTTTTTTTTCCCAACAGTGCTTTTATTTTTTTATGTATTTTAAAGCAGGGGATTATTTTTTCTTCTGCTCCAGAGTCTTGATTCACTTCCTGCAGGTGTCCTGTTGCTTCTTGAGGGAGAATTCACTAACGCAGGAAGACATTTGCCAGAAAACATCTGTCAGAGAAGGATATTGAATATTGTAACTATAGTTAGATTGTTATTTCGGATAAGAGAAGGATATAGTTCACAAAGAGTACAGGATGTCTAAAGGCTTATAAAGTATCTCAGTACACAATGACGTGACTCTAGCAAAACGCTCAGTAGTTTTGTGCGTACTTTACAGTTCTGAAGAGTTAAAATTCCATAGGGAAAAACAGGCACTAAACCAGACAATGCTCTTAGAAACACTGGCATAAAAACATACAGGTGTATGAAATTACACTGCATTCGCACTATGAGAACAAATTTTGACTTGGTCTTTAGTTGCTGCATCCACCCAGGATGATTGTGACTTTTCTATCTTTCTGTCAAGTGTGCTGGTATGAGAGAGACATCAGCTCTCATAAATCGTCTACTCCAGCCATGCTGGCCAGAACTGTTTAAACCCCAGATCCAACAGAAACCATTTGCACTTGTCACACAGCTGATGTACGCTGCTGAGATGCTGCCAAGGATAATGTCCATTACTAGCACTCGCAGGCTGAATGGTAAACACCAAGCTTTCGATTAGATTCATTTTTACCAGTTATGATTTTCTGGTTTGCACTAATTATTCCTCTCCTCCTCCCCTTCTAATTTTCTAAAAATTATCCCTGCTCTAAAATGAAAATGATCATTCACCATGCCCTTTTCATTATGCTCTGCAGAGGAAATCTCATCTTAAGAACAATAATACACTGAAAATCCAAGTCTTTTGTGGTTCCCCTGATCAGAATTTAAGACTAAAGATTTATTTTCAGGGGAAGTATCAAAGTTGTAATATTTAGAAATTATTCTGGACATTTATCTCAATGTATCTAAAAGAGCAGAGTGCTTTTTCAAAGCTCTAAAATGACCAAAAAAATAAACAAATAAATAAAAATTTTTTAAAAACCCTCTACACCTCCATCCTCACAAGCAAGGTCTCTAAAATTGTCATTTCAAATTCCAAACACAGAAAAAGCCTGTGGAACAAGAAACCACACAGTTCCTTTAATAAATGAAAAAATAAGTTTCAGTAAAGAAGCAAAATCGAAAAAATTGTTCAGTGAGAATAAATGACAGATGATAAAGCTGATGCTTAAACATTCACGCTACATGACCATACAACTGGGGGAAATAAACCCTCTGGTGACTAAGCAGGAATTTGAGAGGATATTACAAAACCTGGAGGAGGTCATAAACCATAACTTTGTTAAACAGAACTGAAACACTTAAATAAATTGACTGAACTATTTTTACACACTATCACCAGTGGAAAACCTCAAGCTGGAAAACGCTGCACAATGGTCGTTTTGTGTAGCACGTTCTCATTACAGGCTAGAAATGAAGCACAATCTTACACAATTTGCAGTTTCTAATAAAAGGAAAGTGCATTTGGAAAAATCAAGCCTCAGTTTTAAAATCTGAACAATTTAATGACCCCCAATTTAAATCTGGGGTTTGTTTGGTTTCTTTATACCACTGTCCCAGCTGCAATTGCTTCAACCCTGTCTTGGGGAAATCTAGTGTTATTACGATATTTCTAAAGGGAGCATCATGTTGCACTCACCATCTGGGAAGCAACCTATTACAGGATTTCCTTCCCCTCAGGGAGGGACAGTTAATGCAAGGCCATTATCTGCTGTAAGCAGGAAATTATGCTAGAAGGGTTCAACTACTTAAGCCTCCTTCTTTAAAGTCCCATTAAGGCAGCAGCAATGTTAAGGTTCAGCCTCAAAGGGAAAGACTTTTAGGCATTAAGGTTATTGAAAGACGTTCAGGCAGGACAGTATGTTCAAGTATGTGGGAGGGGTTTGCAAAGAGCAAAGGTGTGCAAGAGTTTAATTTCTTCAGGAACTTGGCAGAAAATTCAAACAGCATGCAAAATTCAGACAAATTGTTCTTTCTGGGACATGAGCCAAAGACACTGGCACAATCTTCTAACAACATTTTGTGACCTTTACTCATGTTCAGGACATACCACGTGTTTCAGGCATGTGATTTATTCTGAAAGACACACTTGCCAAAAACAGTGCATTACCAAGGGGCAGAGATTTTGTTCTTACAATGCAAGTCATGGAATCTAATGAATATACAATTCCTCAAAGCAAAAACTCAGGAAGAAATGTCAAGTATTCCTCTGCTCCCCACCAAGTCAGTCTGGACTCTGTAGAAACAGGAGCTGCGTATGGGATATCAAGAACAACTGTCTTCTGCTGCCTTGTGTTCTAAAAATATTCAGGCAAAGAAAAGTCTAGCCTAAAAGAGTCACTAAATAGAGTTAAAACCAAAACAGAACAAATTCAGGAAAGTAGAAAGTTTACCTTTAGTAAATAAAGAGAACTCTGGTTCTGGGGAGAGTGGAAAAAGTATCTGGCATCTTCCTAACCTTTGCATAATTAATAAATCCTCTGAGAAACAGCAGAAAACCTAGATGGAAGAAACACATTTGTCCAGTTAACACAGGTGTTGCTTCTTCAATTAGAGAGGGAGCAGTTCAACTCAAGTTACTAGTATGGGGGACCTAAGTCACTGCGATGCACAACAGCTGCTTAAATACAAGAATTTTTTTTTTTTTTTTTTTAATCAATTACACTTAATCTTTCAATTTCAGGCTATCTCAAAAACAAACTTCCTTAGGCAAACACAAAACTTTTGACTCCAAATGAGATCTAGTCACTTTCAAAGGAGGAAAAAGAAAAGAAAAAAAGAAAGACCACAACCCACTCTTCCATTTAAGATATAAGAACAGATACAACATCAGTTACTATGAAGACAAGCATCATTCTATTCTTTACTTCTTCTGGATGATAAATAGGATGCTGCCACCAAAAAATGACAACAAAAGGACAGTTTTTATGTGTACCTTTAAAACCTAGAAGGCATTCAGTAAGAGGAGGAGTACTCTGAGGGTTACATTTTGGTTTTACATCTATACACACATATTTTAATAGCCAGTAAAGCTATGCTCACAAAAGCCCTAATTGCACTTCACAGTTTTTAAGCGTGCATTCCCTCTTCACCCCCCGAACAAACACTCACCTAGTACAAGGAAGACCCACCAAAGCCAATACTGGCCATCAAAGTAACCAGGAAAATAGGTGGAGAACTGAAAAAAAAAAGCCAACAAAAAAACGATACAAGTTAGAGCACATGGAAGTTTCTGAACATAAACCTATTCTCAGTAATTTCAGCAGTAACCAGATCAAGCCTGCTGCATACACACATCAGACCAACTCTAACCAAGGGGAATGGAACAGATTCAATACCCAGCCATAAACTCTTGCAATCAGTGGAGCAGAAAGACACTACTGGGCAAATACTCCTATTTTCCCTCATGTCTTTGATGCTTATAAACCACAGTTGCAGTTTCTGAAAAGGAAGATCAGGCTTGCAGCAGTGCATCACGTTAATTACACTGTAAGGTTGGATAGCATAGCAAACAAAAGCACAGGTGAAAAAAGAAATCCCAGATCTGTGGAACCCTCTGACAAGATTTTCTACTGGGAAAATAACTGCTTATTGAATGAAAGGCACTGACACTACTAGAGCACTGAAGTTCACCGTGTCAGTGGTAAATACAGTATAATTTTTTTGGTTTCATTCTATTCAAGTTTAGAAACCTAACAAAATGCTAAGCTTGTTATCAAAGTTTAAATCAAATCCACAGTTAAGGTCACTTGTTTCTGTCACACCCCTTAATCCAGCAAACAGTTCCTAACACCAAGTTAACAGATTCTGCATTTACAAATTATAATTCCTATCTTTTCATGGGCTCCAAATAAAGCTTTTCTGATATTTTCTCACAATCCCTCCAAAAAATAGTTTGACTTTTTTTTTCCATTCCTCCCAGCATCAGCACATCTATATCCTTTTTTTTTTCTCTCTCGCCAGAAAGATTTCTCTTTCTCCCCCTCCAAGTTTTAAAAATACTATGTCAGCCTTTCTTGCTTCTGTGAGAAGAGGTCTGTGCCCTATGTTTGCATTGAGGCTCCCATAATACAAACCAGTTCCAATCAGTCATTTCCCTCCTCTCCCTGTGTGTTCTGGTGGAAGGGAGCACAGTGGGTGTTTTAACAGCCTGGATATGCCCAGAGTTTCTATGGAAAAATCAAACAGAACTGAAAAGCATGCTTCCACCTGATCCCCTCCTGCTTGTGCCGCAGGCACGTCGCACCAGAGGGCACCAGCGGGCTTCTCCCATCCATGAAACAAAGCGGTGGCTGCCTCTTCTTCCTCCAGCAAAGAGCAAACCTCACACCTCTTAAGTCCCTGTTTCCCTCTTCTCATCGGCTATCCCACATTTTAGATTTTTTTTTTTTTTTTTCCAGAGAAGCACCTAAGGAACATCATACTGGAAACAAACATCCCGGTGCTGACGGCAGGGCTTGCTTTATCTGGATAAATGTTTTACAAAGATCAGATCATTGTTACTGCTCAACACACAAAGGCAATTTGATCCAATACAGTGGCTCTGTCAGAGTGCACCATACTTGGGTGTGCAATCTTTATTCTCTTTTATTACAATAATAATTCCAGCATATAAACAGAACAGAATGATGAAAAAGCTCTGCTCTCAGTGAATATGGGGCTCAAAATCTATTTTGTTATAAAAAGCTGAATTTATAACTAATTTCAGTATAAGTGAGATAAAAACGAGCTAAGAAAAGAAAGTACCAGTGTCTACGTACATGTTTTTGCACTACACGACTTACCCTAACAATGAGGATCCATTTAATAAGAGACAGACCAAACCCAGAAATGGCCCCGTATCGTCCTGCAGCTGAAGTAGTCAGACAGAAAGACAGGAAAAATCCAATCCAGTTGAAGAGGAATGCCACTGAGAGAGCAGGAGAAAACCAGCAGGTCAAGCCCTCTTTGAATTCCAAGGACAAAACAACATAAAAACCTTGCACACAGGTTTTTCCTTGTGCTACATAAACGTTAGTGTGAAAATAACTCTAGCTATTTTGGGTGACTGCCTGAAAAAATATTAAGTTCCACCATGTACTTACTGAAGAAAGTTAGCATGAAAATGCCATCATTTCCTATCCTCAGCTGGTCGGTGTCATCAAAGTCATCCCGTGTCACAAAGTCGTCATCCTGCAAATCAAAGGGAGAGAAGACGTGGGTGAATTTAAGTCAGTCCAGTCCACACGGCAATCCCAATTCTGCATGTGGCTCTTCAACAAAGGGCCAGCAAACTGTATAGCCCTCTAAAAGCAGCATACAATGGAGGGATATAAAATGCTTTGTTTACATTTAAGGAAAGCCCCCTATGGGGCAGGGGGGTGGAATCCTAAATCTCAAAAGGCTACAAATACAAGCAGGAAAAATTCCTGCTTCTCACCCTGAGATGATGCAGAGCATGCAATACTAAGTCACTGGCAGTACTTCTTAATTTTTTTTTTAAGATAGTCAAGATCCAACATATTCTTCTTCTCACTGTAAAGAATTCGCCTACTCATAAAAAAAATTAAACTTATCATCTCAGCAAGGAATTTGGCTTCTATGAAGAAGCATAATGAGCAGTGGACATCTAATGCTAGCAGGGGTGGAGGGAGAGGCTGAAAGAGAGAACGTTGAAAAAAGCCAAAACCAAATAAAAAAATAATTATTCTGACAAACTATCATCTGTCAGACATTTTATCATCCTTGCATCAGCTACACTGACTCTGGAAAAGTCAGTTAAGTAAGCAGCAGGAGTATGAAGGGTAGATATGCTAGATGGCTGAACAATTAATCCTAAATCTTTAATAAAAAAAAAAAAAAAGCCCACAACAAAACAGTGACAGCACACACGGATTCACTACCATGCCTCTGTCAGCTTGCCAAACTAATCTGAATAGCACATGCTGGCATTACTGAGATGTCTCACATCATCATAGCTGCCCAGAGGAAAATTTAAAAAAAACCAACAAAATTAGCCACAGAACTCTTGGTAGTGTGTAATATCCCCACCTCAGAAAACTTAAAAAATAAATTCTACACAAGAAATGTGAAGGACATACAGCCAGCCAAGTGTACTCACTCTTCCAGGAACCAAGGGAATTGTGGCTTCAGCCTTGGTTCTCTCCGCCTCATCATAACTAGGCAGTGTTGTGGCCACGTTGTAAGATGGAGGCTTAGGAAATCCTGACTCATCCTTGTAGTCAAAATAAGCTGCAAAAAAAAAGTTATATGGAACATAACTTGTCAGTTCAAGAACACTGTGTTGGGAAAGAGAAGCATTTCAGATGACTTCAAAAGACCCCAATAGCCCAGACTGTTGAAGCCTACCCCTCCTGTCCCTTCCCCACCCTTCTAGCCTCTTGCCATCCCAAAATGGAAAGTAAAAAACACAGGAGCACCTTATCTAACAGAGAGTAATACGCAAAGCACTACTTTAACATGCCTGGTTGTATTTATTTTTAAAACAATGATACATGCTGTGTCCCTCCTGACTTCATTCATATTTTCAAATCCAAGTGGTTTGAGTGAGTCAAAAAAGGATCACTGCAAGCCCTGGGCCACTCATGACCAATTTTTCCAGAGAGAGACTCCAGATTGTTTTCTGATGGAGGAGAAAGGGATTGGAACAAAAAAATCAAACATAGCATTTCTGAGCCCCAGTCGCTGAGATGCACTTAAGGAACCAGAACTAATGGGACATCTTTACAGTTAGCGTTCCAAGGCAGGACACTCAATAGGCAGCTTGAGAAACACAATATTCAAACTTCTATCCAAGGCTGGCTGGCTGTTTGAGAGACTAACAGTATGTTGTTGCATTTGATTCACAAATCTTATTCGAACGGTTGACTATGAAAGTTCTGGAGGGAAAAAAATGAGAAGATTTACCTAAGCCAAAATACTCTGATACATAACCAACACAAACCAAGCTGGTTTGCTAAAAGGTATTAGCGACATGACAGTGTGATGATTCAGAAGAAGTATAATCCTTATGACCAAGTCCTTAGTTACTGAAAACTGCAGGAAGAGTGAATTCTTTAATCCCTTTCAAGTAACACATCTTTTTTGGAAGGAGCACAGCATCATCCAAACGCCAAATAATGAGAGGGTAACCACAAATCCTCATAGCACTTTGATTTTTAATCGTCTCCAATCTACTGAGAACACTGTGAAATGTAACTTGAACACCACTTGATGGGATGACATCAGATGAACGTAGCCAAAATGCATCTTCTAAACCACAAGTAACAATAGTGTCTCTGGATCAATTCTGATCCTTTGCAGCCTTAGTAAGGATGCTGCAATGCCATCCGTCAATAAGAACAATTAAGGAGGTAAGAAAGAACAAGAGAGCAAACCTAGCTACTTCCTTTTGGTTAAATTTACCTGTATTCTCCGCAGAAATGCTGCTGTAAGGTGGAGGGGCATCATTCACCACTGGTGCAGTCTCGTCTGGCTCCTCTTCATTCTGCAACTGAACAGACCCCCACACAAGAGAGGTTAACAGGGTTTCTCAAGTTCTGTGAAATTACCTCTGTAGTTTTGACTGCATATGGCAGACTCTTCTGGAAGAAGACGGTTCCTCAGCATCATGGGGCATGCAAGCAGTTGCTCTGCTTCATATCGAAGTACTCCCACTTGAAATGATCAATATGACACCTCAGTTTTAATGTGCTTTTACATCGTATCCTCACACATCTGGACTTCAACAAGGCAAAGCGTACCTCTTTTCAGTATCTTTCCATTTCCCTGGCACTTCCTCAGATTCCTCAGCTCACACTGTTTAGGAGCTGCAGTTGCATCTGTTTCAGTCAAGGAAACAGCGGGAGATACCCACCAAAGACTCCATTGCTGCCTATGGCTTTGCTAAGGAAGGGGGTTTTTTCATGGATACATTACATAATGATAGATGTAAGTATGGATCTTGCCATTTCCCTTCAACCTTTCACACTGCATGACTGAAAAGGAGACAGTTTATTTTGTGCACAGTGCTTCCCACAGGCTCTGTATAAATAACCATACAGCTTACCAAATATACAGTGTCACTTGCATGAAGCAGGTATGCAAATGCAGGCTTTGATCAGCGAAGCTAGCAATACCAGGCCAGAAGCATTCAAAGCAGAATGTACCAGAAAGGAATTTACAAATCAGCTGCCATTTAATTTCTTTTCTTCTTTCCATTTCTCATTTCATCAACAAAGAAACTGAGTTTTGATGCAGAAAGACAACTCATTTCAAAAAAGCACCTTGGGACTGAACCACTGGCTTGAACAGAGAGGTACTACCCTCTTCTGTAATCAACATGAAACAGCAGCAACCCTGCAACTTCTTCCTTAACATCTTCTTGAACTATCCCTTCTGCACAGCCCTGCTAATACTCTTGAAGCCATCCATGATATTTTGCTTTCTTTTCTCTGGAGAGACATGTTGCTGTTCAAGTCCTTCCCAAGCATTTGATGCAGGGGGTGGGAATATGTTCTTATTTTACTTGTATGTATTATCAAGGGAAAAAAGAAAACCAAACCAAAACCAAATCAACTCACACTTCTAAATGAAGGTCTTGTTTTATACGTAACTGTTCTGCGCCTTGTGTTTTCATTCCTTTTGCTGCCTAAGATCAAAGGTCAGACGACATCTGTGTCCTCTGTGAAAGTCAAAGCCGAAACTTTTTCAGATGTTTGAAGTGCAATTCATTGGATGTTTGCATCCAAACCACAGCTGCATGTCTGAACCGTGAGACATCCGAGTCCTACAAGCTTGCTGAGAAGAGCACGGATTGTTTCATTTTCTCTGCCATTAACTGGACAGCCGCACACCTCCGTCAGCTGCACAACCACGAGCACGCACAGAACGAGTAATTGCAACTCGGTGGTTCATTGCACTGTGGCCAGACACAACGTCCCTGCTGGCTTTCCACCTCCTCGGCGTGGAGGCTGCCGTCCTCCCCAGCCTGCCAGCACAGCTGGTGTGTCATAGCTCCCTAAGCCAGTTATGTCAAAAAGATTTTAAACACACCTGCTGTTAATAGAGTTTAACCTAGTAAGGCTTAAATGACTTGGGTTAGCAGGCGATGATGACACAAGCAGTTCTGCTGGCAGGTCCAAGGGGTCGGCCAGGAGGGGGAAAGGGAAGAAATGACACTGGGAAACACTGGAAAAAATTCAGCAGCCCTATCACCCACTCTAGCTGTACCAAAACAACACAACATCACAGCCCTGCACTCTGTTTCACTGTCAGATGAAGCTCACCTTGCTACTCTAACAGCAGCCTCCATCCTCTCCCCACTAACATTTTCTGAACAGGAGAGGTGGGAAAAAAAAGAAAAAAAGAGGGAGCTGGTCAGCCCCAAGCTTTCCGGATAAGGACTCCCCACATGGCACAAAACTGAACCACTTCCTTGAAGAAGGAGAAGTTAAGTGATCCAGATGAAAATTTAATCTATATTACACCAAGAGCACCTCCTAGCACAGATGCTGTGGCTGTCAGCAGGAGACACCTAAAATGCTGGCCCCCGGCCAGATGCAAACCCACACCAAATCAACCCCTTTCTGCGCCCCAGGAGCGAGGCCGTGGGGTACACAGGGCAGAGGTACCTGCCTTGATGCCTGCAGCTTTAATTAGCCGCAGGGCACCAAGCAATTAACACGATAAGCTGCAGCGACTCCCACAACAGCAATGCATCTTCATCATTTTCAAACCAGCTAACTCAGCATGAGCCCTTACCAAGAAACAAAAATGCCTTATTTTATAAACCCCATGGAGTTCAGCCATTGGAAGAAAATGCAAACTAACTTGTGAAGTAATTGCCTATTAAAATAAGCTTTAAAAAAAAAAAAAAAAAGAGCACTGCTGCAGAAATTCAAGAGCAGCCTGCACACAGCATGAGAGAGGCAACCTAAGGGATAATCCAGTAAAATGCAGAGTCAAACTAGTCAATTTAGTCTCTCCCAGCTTTGTAGTCTATGAATTCTCAGAAAATGCTCCACCATGCTTATTTTCAGTCTATCCATGAAAATTCAATACTTCTCCCCTTTTTGTCTTCTGCCTATGCAGGACCCAGTCTACTAACGAAGGAGGAAAGACTCGGACACACTAGGGACACTCTGGCTAACGCATGCCCTGCACTATCGGCTCACCTAGTGAGGGGGTGGCAGAAATTAACACCCTAATGTTTGTAAGAAAGAAGACATATACAACCTAAAAGTACAATCACCAAGGCGGGGGAAGGAAAGCACTAGATGTGACAACACTGGAAGAGATGAAACAAAAGAGGACACAGATAGTTAAGTATAATATTAATTCTTACCACTGGAAAGCTTACAAGGTTCTTCTTTCAATGGTAAAGAGAAATACATATTCTTACAACTACCTCGTGTGGGAGAAAGCAAGCTGAACTTACTGCTGGCTTCAAACCATTACAATTCAGGTAATGACACAAAAAATGCAGTTACTTTTTAAAGTTGAGCTAGAGGCTGTAGGAGGTATACAGATATAGAAAACAGATTTTTCCTCTAATGGACAAGGTACACAAATGCCTTCCAGCCTTTTTAATGATTCCAGGCATCTAAAATTCAACTAAGTGCTTATTAGCAAAGCCGTAAGGGTTCATGTGACAGGAAGAATGAGTCATCAGACCTCGCAGGGCCCAGCTCCCTGCACTGTGCAGCACTGGCCCTGCGTGTTCCATCTGCCTTGTGCAGCGCCAGGTACGCACAGCGAGGAAGGCCACGCACAGTGAGGAAGGCTGCGCTGCTCGGGTTTGCAGGCAATTCCCCCTTGGGCCACTGCTGAGAGTCTTCAGAACCCGGAGAACCTGATAAAAGCAGCGTTTGGCTGAAGTCTATTTTGCTGAGGCTGTGCGGTATTCTTTCTTTGAGTCACCGATGGATTTTAGCTTTTAAAGCATGACTCTTGTATTTGTGGCATTAAAAAACAGTCTTTACAGCAATGCATAGTTATTAAAACAAAACTTTGGCTGTGCTTTTTTCACCAGATTGCTAAAACAACAGAAAGTTGCCTGATAGAGCAGAACAAGACCCAGGGGCATTTATTTTCCCAAAAACACCATCAGAAGCTTGGCTCTGAGCAAGACATCGCCTCTGTCTGCCACTTCCCCTGCTTGAGACATATGACATATAAATACACACAGCACAACAACATTAAAGTTCGAAACATACAAAATGGTTTGAAATATTTCCATATAAACTTTGAAGAAAGCATTTCCAATAAATGTATTTGTTAACTCTTCCAAATTTTCTAAACTTAGCACATGGGCTGCTGACACAGTTTTGGATCTTTTTTTTTAACCTCCCCTTGCCCCAAGTCCTTAGGCTGCATGCAAATATTCTTTACACTAAATGAGCATTACTACAAGCTTCGCTTTAGCAATATACCACCAGTAACATATTAAACTCAGCCATATATCATCAATGTTTACTGCATTTCAGTTCTTTTTTTATGTTCTGGCATGCAAGGTAGAACTGCACAGAAATCCCACAGAGGAATTCTAGGATGAAGACAACCCTAATCAGATCGCGTTTTTGTTGTTACTATGGTTTCTCTGAGATTTCAAAAAAGGCAGATATTTAGGCTAATGACAGAAAGAGAATCAATATTTTTTTTAAATGTGATAGGATTGATTTTTTTCAGAACAATGAAATCATAACCTTTGTGAGCCAAATGTTGAAAAAAAAATAAATAAAAATGTGTATCACTACAAGATTTGAGAGTACTCCAGCAAGACAACAACCTGCCCACAAAAAGGTTATACTTCACTCCCATTGCAACACCCCCTAACTTTTCTCCTTCCATACCTCTGGCCTTTTGGAAGCAAGTGGAAGTTGCTGCCAACTCTGAAGGAGAAGAAAATTGTTTTTATTGACTTACACTTCACTTTAAACGTACCCTGATTTGAAATCTTGACTTTTGCCCAATGCTGTTGCAGATTCCTATAACTTAATATCAGCTTATTAATCAGCACGAATAATGACAAGCTATTAGACAAGTCAGCCCACGTGCATCAGCCCTCTCCTTGATGAGCAAATAACTGTTTTCTCCCGTAGGCACTTCCAGTTCATTTAACCGAAGGAGAATGACAGCCCCGAACAGAGTGTCTACCCCAGCTACCTGCGCTCAGGCACAGCACGGTGTGTGCTGTAGGTGACACGCTTGGCAGTCGCGCTGTCTAAGCAAACCCTCCCCTGCCTTCCCCCTGCACCAGGAGATGCTGATGCTCCTGCCCAAGTCTTGCGCTGGGAAACTGATTCTCCCCAGGGCCCTGGGCACAGCCCAGCTCTGGGGAGCGACCTCCCGAGGTCTCTGTCAACCTGAGCTACTCCTTCATTTTAATAAAGGGCTGAAAACTGTGCCTTCACTCCCCCTCCCCAAAAATGTGGTGGGTTTTTTTTTTTCCAGCTGGACCAGCTCCCTCCCACACAGCGAGCACACATCTGCACCCACACGGCGGGATGCACTGGGCAAGGACCAGACACCAGTGGGAGCATCTGCCTGAAGGGTACATTTGCAACGACCCTCCCAGCTACCAAGGTAAAAACACAAATCAAAACATATTTTATGTCCATCAAAACACAGCCTGTGCTCACAAGGATGTTGTTCTTCACTGACTCACTGCAGTTAAGGGCCTGACAACACGGAAGTACACCTCAGTCCTGGGAAACATGCTGATCTAATTCCCTCACCTTTGCTCAAATGGGGAATTATACTGGTCTGGCTAGGCTGCAAACAAGCACTTTGGCCAGCACAAACCTGTGCCTAGACTGTCCTTAGATTTGAGCATTCAATACGGAAGAAGTAGGTTTTAATCTTAGATAGCTGTAATTAAATTTCATA